AGGATTAAACACTCTAATGGCAGAAAATGAGAGTGTAAAGACAGCACAGATAACCTTAACTCAGCCCCCTTGCGGGCATACATTTTGATTGCTGTTTATGTATAACACTTCAGCCTGAAGCTAAATTAGCTTGGGAGTTAACTGCCTCCTGCCCTGCTTGGTACATAAGGCAAGCTGTGCCACCACATGAAAAGAAATTGTACATTACATGGTTTTTGACCAAGTTATTAAACTCTGTACCTTAGAGAGACAGAAGCTCATCTTATAAAAGTCTAAGTCAATAAAGACACTGGGCTGCTCCAACAGCGAAAATAGCAGAAGTGCACAAGAACAAACAAATATTACTTGATGTGCACAAAAGCTGCATGATATTAAATTGAACTCTCTGGGGAAAAAAAAAGATGTTTTCATACACCCTCACAAAGGTTGGTCATCTCTTGATTTACATGTTCAGCTATACAACCTCCAAATCCTCCGCACAAGTGCCCTTAAAAATTGGGTATGTTTAAGAATGACTTTCATCTCTCTCCTGCCTGCAAGACCCCTGCCTTACCAGTACAGGAATACGATCTGCGGCTCTGGTGACAAACTGACCCATTTCGAAGATGATGAAAATGGGTTTTTTCCTGCCAATTTCTAGAAAAGACCCTTTGCTTCCCATCTAATTTTGTTCCTACAAGTAGGTCCCTATTGTTCTGTGAGTGGAATCAATTGCGGATGCAAAGGAGAGAATTTTGATGGGCAAGCGCCTGATTTATGGACAGTAAAAAAAAAACCCAACACATTTGCACCTGCTAATCAAGGTAGCTATCCATCTCATTTATGCCACTGTTCTGGCAAGCCTGACAGCACAAAATCAGAGGTTGTTTTTTCCAGCATTTGGCCCTGAGGGACCAATTCTCCAGCAGGCCTCTTAAGCTATGCCCACAGAATGTGCAAGTGAATCAGTTTTGTGCATACAAAGCAGGTAGTTGTGCTCACAAATCAGACTTTGCATATGCCACCGAAAATGGGTGCCTTCATAACCACTACCAGTGCTGATAAGGAAGGCCAGGGAAAAAGCAGCACTCCTTGATTTTATGAGGCAGTACCCCAGTGCATGGTACAAACAGCACCAGAAGCAATGTACTCAACATCCTTTGGAAAAAACAGACAGTAAGGAGAGTTGCCCCTGAGTCACAGAAGACGACAAACTTTCCCTATTCTCCGTTTAAACAGCACCATCACAACCTGTCAACAAGATGGGGTGTTTTGGCAGAACCTCTGTCAAAACAGAGGAGCAGCTCTGATCTACCTCAACTTTACTGCAGGACGGACCATGGCCCGATCCAGAAGAGGTGCCTGGCTTGTCCAAGCTGAGCAGCGGCAGCTTGACGCAGGCAAACAGGGACCTAGCCACCGCACTTACCATATAATGTCTGCAGACTGGAGGTGAGGACCCTCAGCAGAATCTATTTATTTATCTGCAATCACTTCAGACAAAATGGCTTGGCCATTTTGGTGGGGGGAGGGGGTTATATTTTGCTCATCTATGGATGTTGGTCTCTGAAAAGCTCTGATGAGTTTGTATTTTGCAAGATAGGGTTGAAATTTGTCAGGGGGCAGCAATCATTTAATTAAAGAATGAGTCACACTGCAAAGACACAAGGGAAGGCAAATTAAGGTCAGGCAAGCTCGACACATTTTGGCATTTCCTAGTGTTTCAGAACCACAGTTTTGAGTGTGGATTATTATTCATATTGAAGTAGTACTTGGAGGCTTGAGTCATGAATCAGCCCATCAAAGACAGAGGTTATACAAAACTCAACCCCAGAAGAGTCTCCTGTCCTGGGAAGGGATAAGAGTTGAGTCACACCAGACAGTGCATAAGTGAACCAGTGCTCTCTGATCATGCGTGCCATAAGCCCTCAGCACTGCCCTGGAGAAAAAACTCTTCTTTGCAGAGGTCTGCCTATATACCTTGGAGGCAAATTACAGCAAGAAAGCTTTGGGACAAGGCTGTATTACACTGAAGTGGAAAGTGCTCTCTGAGGGGAAGACTGAGGTCAAATTAGCTGCAAATCTACTGGAGTGCCTCAAGGCTGGCCGTGCTGGTGTTCACAGGGGGAAGCCTTCAGGGCACTTGTTTCCCAGACGTGAAGAGCCTCGTACTCTGTGCAACCACGTGTCTACCCAGGGATTATAAGGCACCTTCTCTCCTCACTCTGGTTGAACTTCCAAGCATCACCTGATGTCAGCCTCCTCCTCCTGGGTGCTTCATCCAGCCCAGAGGGGACTGAGGGCAAGGGAAACCCCCAGCATCCATCACTTGGGGTGCTCACAGAGACTACAAAATCCCTGGGTAAGGTAGGGTGTCAAATAGATACTTCCAAAGGTCTAACTTTCAGCAGGTGGTTGCTCAGCTCTTCATAAGGTTTGGACACCCTTGAAGGAGTCTCAGAGTTAGGCTCTGAAAATTAGCAGCCCCATCAGCCTGTGCTGCTCTACCCAAAGAAGCAGCTGGCATAGAAGGGAGAGAGATTTTGCTTTATCTATGTGCAAATTTCAAGGCTGGAAGAGGGAAGATGTTGATTTACAAATTTCAGCAGGGGAACCTGCCAGTTCAGATCCAGGCTGCTCTAACCTTAGCTCCGCTCACTGGGCTGAGGAAACACGCTGGCTCAAAGCAACTCACATGAGGCTGGGGAAAAAAAACGCACGTTGCAATATGCTGTGTATTGAGCTGTGCTGCCTGGCAAGCCCTGGCACTCCAGCACCTCAAGGGCCAGGGCTGCTTCCTTGCTCTTTATGATGACCAATGACCCAATGATGTCCAGGACGCAGCAGACTCCAGCAACAGGCTGAGTTGTCGCCACCTCAGGTTTCTACCACCAATGCACTGAGTAGAGCAGAGATGATGGGCAATGGGGAAGGGGGCTATAAAGCAGCCATCGAGGTTAGGATATAGCACTGGTAGGATACAGAACAGAACACCTCCTGGGATAATGAGCACTGTAAACCAGATCTGACGCATCCTGCTCAAGTGTGAGGCATCCAGCAGGAGAAACAAGTTGCTCCAGGGAGCGGGAGGCACAAGGGGAGCAGCAGATGGGCAGGTATGGTAAAACAGCAGTTTTAAAACAGCAGAGATTGTGTGAGGATTAAACTAGCCCTTTTTGGTGCCAAGGACGGTATGGGGCTTGCAAGCGGAGCTGCAGGGCTCATTCCAACTCAGAAATCATGTTTTACCTCCATACGGCCTCCCTGGGGTTTCAGCCAGAGGCAGAGTTTTTTTCTTTTCTCCTCCCCTCAGTCAGGGACAGTTGAACTCATCTTCCCTCTCCCTCAGAGGTGGCTGCATATCACAGATGCCTAAAACAATCCTTCTGCATTAGGACATGTGGAAGAGAGGTAGGTGCCTTCTCCCTGCCCCCTCTCCATCTGCTGGGGCAGCTGCTCCCCACTGCCCAGCCCTCCTGGGGATGGTAGGTGATGCTGAGGGCTTGACTACTTGGGGAATGCAGCTAGAATAATTATTCTGCTTCAGCTTTGCCTGTCAGTGTCCCCATGCAGACAAGCCTTGAGAAATCAGATTATTAAAAAGGGAACGTTATCTTGACCAGAAAAACAGATCTATGAGAATATGCATGGTATTTACGTCTCAGCTGAGAACGGACAGATGAAAACAGGGGTTAGTCCCAGTCCACACCATATTCAAGCTTCACAGCTCATGGTTCTGGAGGATTTCTTCCTCTCAGAACATCGTGTATTAAGGGTACAGCCCACGGCAGGATGGAGCCTTCTCCTCAGTGAGCTATCTCTCTTCAAATACATTGACCAAACCAGCAAATAACATCCCTTCTAGCAACCAGAAAGTCTCACACGCAAACATAGGTAGCAGAGAAACTCTCATTGCCACAGAAGGAGGGAAATGGTTCTCACGGAGAGCCAGGAGTTAACCTGAGAAAGGTTTCTCTGCAAGGAATCAGGACTATTTGCATGCTCTTTAGATGCGGAGCATGTCAAGAGCAACAGGGTTACTTCTCTCCACCCCACCAAGAAGGCATCCGGAGGAGAGGCACTGGGAAGCAGGAGCTCTTCTCAGCCCTGCAGGGGCACAGCAGGCCCCTCGTAACAAAAAAACAGCACAGTCACAGAGCCACCTTCACACCCCCTTGTTATCTGCACCAGCTGAGATGTCACCTCACAAGAAATGTCACTTGGCCAGGGTCACACACCTACTCACGCATATATTTCTCCCCTGCCCCGTACCCACTCCCTGACTTATTCACTAATTGTACATTTCTTGTCTTTTGCGTTCCTGGTTCATTGCAGACATCAGAGCCAGATTTCTCACTGCACGACTGTACGGTGCCCAGACAGAGCAGGACTGCGGGTGCCTGTAGCTCCCATGGTATATTAGGAACGCACAGGCCAGGAGGACAGTGTGACACTTCTTTGCCTGGCCCTACATCTGAGTCCCAGCACAACTTGTTGCTGCTTCACAGGCTACTGCTTTTCTGTGCAAGCAGAACACTCATAGCAAAAGGTCATTTATGGATTAAGACAGACAACAGACCCTGAAACTCCACAAGGAAGGGCTGGAGGAGAGATCAGACCTAGGTCACATCAGCCAGAAGCACTAATGAGAAATGCCATGCTCTGCAGTGGAATGGTTAAAAAAAGAAAGAGGAAGGGGACAGGGCTAAGCTCACAATTACATTTTCCAGCCTGGACAGCAAGATAGCTCAACTTAGAAGCAGCTAAACTTCGTGTACCTGCAGTCATTTCAGCTTTGCCAAAGAACTGACAGGTCAACTATTTCTAATCCCCCTCCTTGCATTCACCTTTTTAATACCTTGCTGATGGGGGTCATCACTGTATGACTCTGCTGGTACCTTTTGGTCCTCTGTGCCTAACACCAGGCTAACGTACCGTTAAACCAAGAGTGCATCAAAACACAGACAGACCAACCTCCTCCCACACAACTTCAAACTTGTCTCTTCCTAGGCCTTCCTTACCTGTCTCTTGATCACAGAGTTGTTCACAGGCATCAGTGGTCCTTTGTCCACAGAGATCTCTCACCCAGGGGGAGGTGGCGTTGATCTGATAGTAAAGGGAAAGCTTGGCTGGATTTAACCAGTCGGAGATGTCCAAGTAGCTCCCCTCACTCACCACAAAGCTGCTGCCTAGAAGGTGGAAAAAAAGTGCTTTAGGTGAGTGCAGGAAGAAATCAATGTATTCTAGGTGTAAGGGGAGCATGTCGTGAGGAGGAAAAAAGATTTCTTAAATAAGGCACTGAAGAATTTGTACACTACACAGTAGAACTACTCAATTAATGTCTCATCATTTTCCATAACTGACCCCATAATCAGATCTGTCAGTCCCTAGTGCTCCTCTCCCCTAATACGTACAGTACCAAAGCGGGGACCATTCCTACAAAATGCTGTGAACTGGACAAGGAAAGCCAACTGTGGACTTCCCTGCCTTCTCTGATGAATTATTCGGCCATTTTCACCTTTTTTCCCTGGTTTCTCTTTCAAGACTGTTGCTAAGAAAAAACATTTGTCCCAATATCAGAGCAGTTCTGTTTTCAGGAGCTGGCGTGAGGCTGAGTTCCACAAAATAATACTAAATTCACCAATATTCAGACCCAAAGAACGTCAGTTGTCTGCACAGTTCCTCTCCATAAAAATGTGCCCCAACCAGTAGTGCATCAGCTGGGACGCTCCTCTATCCTGAGATACCCCCATGCTACCAAGTGTCCTGTGATAATGGATTTGATACCCAGCTCTCTGCAGAAACGTGGGCTATTTCTCTGCTCGGTGAGATCGGAGCATCGCTTCCCCAGCTCATGTGGATGGTGTCTAGGAGACACCTGGATTCCGGATCAGGGCACTCATGGGCAGCAGCCACATGTGCTATTCCCACCTCATTTCTCTTGGATCTCGGTGAGTGAACTGGCCCAACGCACTTATTTTATGAGAGGTCTCATCTCAAAGAAATTCCCTCGCTCTCTCCCTCATGAAAGTAGGAGTGAATTCCAGCCAAAAATCTTTTCTTACAAAGTCTTATGTTTCTTTATTTTATGAAATGCATTTTTCCCCGCTAGCATCTGGGAATATGCATCATCTAATTAGCCAAATAGATTTTTCAGTGCAGTCCAATCATTTCCTTATCTAACATCTGAGGCCCTGCATCGCTTGGGGGATTTTGCAGGCACAGAGGTCCTCATTAACTCTGATCTTCAATTACATTGATTATAAGACTGCCTCCATAATAGCGCTGCACAGATTAGAGGGGAGCCAAAAAACCTCTGCTCTTAAGTGGTATTTTGCAAAAGTTACCAGCGTAAAAGACTCTAAAAACAGAGGGAGAAAAAAACCTTCAAAGAAGAGTGGGCAAGGCAAAACATCAAATAGACAAGGAGCTAACAGGCATCCTTCCGTTAAGTGCCAAGACTTCAGTAACAATTTGGAAATACAGGCAAACTTTGCAAATAGTATCTGAAAACTCAAGTCTTTCTTAATGATTACCTAAGGACAGTAAGTCTATAGGTCCAGGGCATATTTTCATGCAGCTTGAGAGCTTATATCATTTAGTAAAGAACTCACTTTTCTAAACACTGCATGAGTTTTTAGCTCAAGGAAAGCCAAGAGACTTAAAACAAATAAATAAAACCGTACAGCAGCAACTATCCCTTATGAACCTGCTTGAGCACAAACTACTGATTTCCTTTTGAATGAGCGTCATGGATGTTTTACAAGGAAGCAGCCCTTCTCAATCTCGTCCTGCACCATGCTATCCATGCAGAACATAAAAAAGTGGAGTCTGAAGTCCAGCATTCAGGCGAGTGACCTCATTCTCACAAGTGCTCAGATCTCAGCACCATAAAAATTTGAGCCCTACTTTGGGCACGTGAAATTGCACCTTTTATATTTATACTGTTTAGACATCATAAACATATGCACAGATGCATCTTTACTTTCATAGCTGATGGAGGTGGTGAAACTATTGACCACACGAGCAAATGAAAAGTAGAGATCCGGTATCCAGCTGTTTCTAGGGACACAGCAAGGAAGGAGCCTCGGTCACCAAGGTTGCACAATACAGATCAATCAGACAAATCTTAATAGTAAATTACAGGGTAAATCCCACCACTCCAGTGGAATATATCGACATATTGAGCACAAAGTATTCTCTTAGAGCCAAGCAATTTTTTCTTTTAATTCTCATTCTTTTCCATGAATATTTAAAGCTATCCTTAAATACTAATGATAATTATTACTGATTTATTTTACCAAACGGAAATCCATTCTGCATCCTTTGAGGCTGTTTATTATTTACATATATAAATCTATGCAGTATCCTGTCGATCTTCGTTTTGTATTTTTGGAATTACCTAATAAAGAGCAACGCTCGAGAAACATGTAAATATACTTTGAGGCATGGGTACAGACAACACCCTCCGCTCCCAGAGGTTTAAGAGTAGCAGCACCAGTTTGTGATTGAACTGCTGCTAAATGAACCCCATTTCTGTTTAAAATACAGCTAGACCGAAACTAATCAAAGCAAATAGAACATGAAATGCTCCTATACTTAATATTCATAAGGAAGAAGGTGGCTCAAAAGCGGGCAGGGTGTCCTGGCACCGGACACCGCCTGTGGAGGGGACCTGTAGTCCAGGCGGGCGACGGAGGGGGAGATGTCTGGGGCTCCCTTCCAGCCCCGTTTTCTGAGCTCTGCCAGGAGAAGAAAGCAGGTTAAAAGCGACCTTTAGGGTGCTGATGCCAAATTTTCATTGTCTTTGGAGAACCCAGCCCATTTGCTGCTGGGAGAAGAGTGTGGGAAAAAAAAAAAAAAAAAAAAAAAAAAAAAAAAAAAAAAAAAAAAAAAAAAGAGACAACTATCGATTTATGGAACCACCTTAGAAAGCAATATCAAAACGTGACACCCAGAGGGAAGCTGACAAAACTTTTTTTGGCAGAAGACAAAAGTTCAACGCCCACATAAATCAGGATGCATTTGCCATCAAACAGCTCGAGCCATTTTCTCAAGCTGCAGGTCGGTAGCCGTGCAGGACGAGGGGTGGGACAGGCTGACCAGCCTCAGGTGGAATTTTCTTTGGACTATAAAGCACAGATTTGGGGAGCTTGAAGTAATTTGCACATTGATCAGGCTTTGCCACGTTATATACATAGAATGACCTCCTCCAAAATAATGCAATTATAACTGAAAGAAAGCAAACGATTTTGTCCTGCTATTTTCAAGATGAAATTTTTACTATAATTAGAGTAAGTCTGACTGAAAAATCATGCTCAATGTTAAAAGTTAAAACAAAAAAAAAGGCATTTCCATCAAAAGCAAAAACGTTTCAGTCCCAAATCTCTGAATTCAGTCTCAAATGGAGGCTTTCTCACTTCAATTTGAGAAAAAAAATGTGAAAATAAAAAGTTTTGGTTAATTGTAAACACTTTCCTTTCTTTCCCAGGAGGGAGGAAGGAAAGGAGATTTTCCAGCAAGGAAGCTTCTCACATCTTGAAAACTGAGGGTGTTACAGCTCAGATGGGTAAGAGTTTCAGATACGTTCACAGATACTCTCACCGCTTTCACACTTACTCAAAATACAAACAAATGAAAATCCTGACCTTGATTCCTTTATAGCTTGCCTAAGGGGGGAGGGGGGGAATCAGGAAAAGGAGTTTTACAAATATTTTGAAAGCTAAAATTCTGAAGCTTTCAAAGCCTTTTTATACCTATTCTCCCTTTATTTTCAAAGAATAAATACATATAAAACAGTTTTCAAAAGTCACCAGCACGCAGTTATCAAAAATATCTTGAAACGCTGAAAAGGGGCAGACTGAACATCAAATCCTTTTAGGAACCACCCAGAACAAACATTTTCTAAGCAAGAGCCATTTCAAACGTCTGTGGTTTGTCAGAAACATCAGCCAGATGCGTTTTCTCCGATATGCACCCGAAACGCAGAACAAAGTCACCCTGCTGTGAGCACCCTCCCCTCCACTTGTTGCACGAACGGGCAAGAGCCTCCCATTCAAAAGTGCAGCGAACCCCCCCACCCCCCACAGGGAAATATTTAGGGTCCAGGGTAATGTAATCACCAACGTGGCATCAACCAGCTGAACAGAGGAATAAGGGAGGTTGGACTAGATGATCTCCAGAGGTCCCTTCCAACCGAAACGATTCTGTGATAAAACCGGGAAACCTCTGAGCCTGCAGCCCCCAGTGACCCAGCCGCAGGGCAGACCCTCAGCTCCGCTGCCCGCACGGACAGCGGACGCCGCAGCGCGCGGCACCGAGATTTCCATGCCCAGCGATGCCCAGCCTCGACCGCTTCCCAGCTCCGCGAGGTCCGCCGGGACGTCGGGGTACTGTTTTGTTTGGGTTTTTGCATGCGTGTGTTTTTCCTCCCCTTCTCCAATTCCGATCCAAGGCGAAGCAGCTCAGAGCTCAAAAGTTCACGTCTCTCATCCTCGGGTCTCCTTCAAAGTTCAGGGGACGTGCTTAAGCCTTGACGAAAGAGGCTTGAAAGTTTTGACATTTCAAAAATCATTTGCCAGAACAAAACAGGGTAAGACAGCTCAGAACAGATATTTAACAAGGGGAAAGAACAAAGCGCCCAAAAGGCAGCCAAAAGGGTCGGGCTTTTTTCCTTTCTCTCTCTCTCTCTCTCTCTGTTTTTATTTTTAAAGGGAGAGATCAAAAAATAATTTTTTTTGAAGAATTTCTTTTCCTTCTTCCCTCCATCCTTTTTGTCTCCTTTGGTCCATTTGCTCCATCTTGGCCAACGAAACTCCTTTTGATCTAAAATTAGTGTTTCGTGTTGGAATACTACGGGAGGTCACATTACCTCCCATAATTGCTATTAATGTATCCACCCCGACAGATTCAAACAATTACAATCCAGTTCCAGCATTACTCTGCTTTTTTTTCCAGACACTCCAGGCAGAACCGTGCCCCCTGCTCCGTTCTGGAGGACCTCTATCTACACACCATAACCCTATTCAATTCCTTCAGTCCCCCTCCTCGTTAAACTTGAAAGAACATTTGCTAGAAAGGCAGCTCCTTCCCAATCCGTTATTTCCGTTGATCGACACCATCTTTCCAATCCTTGTACTGCAGAATATTCTCCTTTTTAAATTTGCTTCAGAAATTTCAGACAAAGAGC